GTAACTGACAATAGTGGAGATGGGGAAGATCCCTGGCAGGGGCACTGTAGTCTGGAAACAAATTTCTGTAGAAAGGCTTTTTCTAAAGGGCTACCCAGTGTAAGTTCATTGAAAGACAAAGCATCTGTATATGAAGGGAGGAAAGGCAGCTGCCCAAGCATGATGATGTATTAGGCTGGATTGCAAAGCTGTGCCACTGATAAATAGAATCAATTTTTTTTCCAATTTATGTGTAAATAATATACGTTGATGCTCTACAATATCTAAGCTGTAAACATTAATGACTATATCAAAAACACAAGAAGGGAAGTTTTAGGAAACCTTCCGAGTTTTAGAAATGGATGGGCCAGCATGAAAAGATGTGCAGGTTACAGCTGAACTGATGCTTAGTCTCACGCAGCACATGCAATTACTGTCATTGGAATGTGTGATTTTAAATATGTGAGGAATGTTTCCAGGTTTTATTACACTGAAGTATTTTGAGTTACTGTCTTCTGCTGTGATTAATCTCTTTAGCACTTAGTGTCGCACAAAGGTTTAGAACATATTATTAGTTCTTGAACACCACAGTTTTGATTAAATGGTTGGTTATTTTTGGAAGCTTTAAAAACTAGGCAGGATAGACTGAAATACCAAATGAGCTCTATACGTTGATAAGGATCTGACAGTTAAAAAGTATCACCTTTTTGTCTTTCATTGTATGCTTCTCCCTTTACTTTCCAAAGAAATAACACAAGACCTCAGGTGATAAAGAGCTTTGCAAATTGAATACCAGAGCCCCATGTGTTGTGATAGAGAAAAGAGATATCTTTTGCTTTTCCCCAAACTTAGGAAATCCTTTCTGAAGACTGGCTTAGGACCTCCTCACATGGCCATATAGCCCGAAAAAACCTACAACAACCCAGTGATTCCGGCCATAAAAGCCTTCGACAATACTGTTACAGCAGTCATCACCTTAACATTACTCAGGCAAAATGAGATTAAAATCTATCCACTGCAGACCAGCCTTCCCTGGTGTTATGGCCTTCACAGAATCATCTGCCTTGGCAAGGACATATCTCTTACCAAGGAAAACTATGCAAGAGTCAGCTTCTATGCCAGACTTTTGTGCAGCTTGTTAATATTTTGGTATTATAAGGCTGTATATTGCCATTTTTTTGAAATGCTATTTTAACTCCTGTCTGTTAGAGGTATCAACCCTAACAATGACAAAACTCAGTAGTTGATGGCTTGCATGAGTTTAGCTTGCCTAAGAGTTTATAGCTCGAAAAAAAACCATATAGCTCGAAAAAACCTACAACAACCCTGTAACAGTATTGGTTACCTTTACTTTTCTCTCAAAAGGAGGACTGCATTAAACAGATTTTCCCCTAAGTAAAAGTTGCTCTTATTCTCCACCCCTAGCATTTTGTATATGTGTTGCCAAAGACTTCACAAAGACAATGTACCTATGCTTCCTGCAATCCAGCCATTGCCTCCTTCAAGGAGCTGTTAAGATGTCAAAAACTCATTCTGGACATTTCACATCTGGCAAATGTTAGTGTTTCCAAAAATCTGTTCCTCCATTTGTTTTTCAATGGACCCATTTTGGCTTCATTTCCGTTGGCATTCACCTCCTGCATTTGTTCTTAGGACAAGTGATTCCCTGACATTTTGAGTCTTGGAATTGGAGCTGACTTAAAATGATAGCACCTTTCTTGGATTAAAAATCCAGGGAATTCATTTGAGAAAGTGTGGATGGGGCTCTAATTAGAGAGATGGCAAGGAAAAAGGTAAGGACTGTAGGAGCTGAAGGTTGTTTTGAATAGCGGGTGATGAGTGATTAATGAGATAGCATCTGCTTTATTTGTTTCATAATAATTCCTCAGATTTTGGTAACTGCTGTCTCTACATGAGATTTGCACCTGGAAGCAGCAAAGCAGTTCATCTTCCCGTTGCCTCTCAGCCCAAGTGAAAAATCTTTCCTCTGCTTGTATAATAAGTAAATAAATAAAAGCTATGCTTATTCAAACAGAAAAGCATGTGCTTGGGAACATTATACAAAATGGTTCTGAAACACTGGCAGTCCTTGACTATGTAGGGGTGAAAACTACTATAAATGGAAATCAGCCCAGAAGAATGGTGCATCTCTAGTAAATTGTGACTTTGCAGTTTCCAAAAAAATTATAGAATTTCTCAGATATAGTCTTGACTTTTCTGAGTTTCCAGAAGGAGACCAAGCAGGCCCATAGCCAGGATTTTGTTTCGGGGAGAGCTGAGTTTGATTCGGGGGGGGGGGGGGGGCTGAGTCTGAATGAAAGAGGGTCTACCCTAGCAAAACTTTTGTATCGTTACCCCAATACCCCCATGCGTATGGGATATATTGATCATGGTGATCAGATCATGATATGAATAACATAACAGTTTAAATAATGTACCAGTAAGGCCTTCCCGCGAACTACCATGAGAATTTAGGGGGGGGGGCTGAAGCCCCCCAAGCCCCCCCCCCCCCCCAGCTACATTCCTGTTTGAGAGATGAAAGAGAACAATGTAGGAAGATTTAGTTAAGCTGTATTTGGTCTGAAACATGAGATCTGTGTAGGAAAGTATGAGTGAAAGTTAGGACTTCCGACAGTACCAAGGATGGTTTGCAGGAGAAAGGACCTCTGTGTCAAGGAAACCAAAAAGGGGCCTATTTGTGTCTCAGTCAGAAATGCGGACTTTCACGGAGGGGGAAGGTTCCTCATGACAGCTTGGTCAGATGAGTTTTTCAAGACAATGCTGGGGGCAGGAAGGTGGGAAGTGAAGAGGCATGAAAGACAAATCTGTGGTTTCAAGGTTGGATGATAAGGAGGTTTTCCAAGCTGTCAGCAGAGATGGAAGAATAGGGGTAAGGATCAAAAGAAGAAAGTGCTATAAATGCAGAACATTGAGTGGTTCAGTGCAGTTTCTTAGAGCGTAGGAAGCTTTAATTAAAGCATGTGACTCCTACTACGTCAAAGAACTGTAGCATATGATTCTTACATTGCAGTGTTCAAATGAATATAGTCTCTTAATTATCCAGAGGAGAACCATGTACCAACACCAGTTAACTGCAGGTTTTAAAAAAATAATAATAATCCCTGATGTGCGCCCCCCCCCCCCCCCCCCCCCCCCCCCCGCCTCCCAAATCATCAGATTACGGCTAGCCTTCCTGAGCATGATGTTTTCTTATGTATACCCCCTTGAGGATTAAAACATAATTAATAACCACCATAAAATTAAGGGGATTAGTTAATAAAATATATTTCTGTTGAGGGAGTAGCAGTCAAGGAATATAGAGAAAGTAATTCCTTTACCTACAGATTTGCTTCAGGATGCATCAGTGCATGAGTAGAATCCATACCAAAATATGTTAACTGCTTTCTGCACAATCATGTTCAAATGGAAGTTAGTATTCTACATGTACAGCATTGATCAAGGATGTGGTGAAGAGACCCTTGAATTTAAATCTAAAGGAATTGTCTGGGGCTGAACTTAGCACAGCAGAAAAAATCTTGGGTTGGGGTTGAGCACCCGCCGTTATCCCCAGCTCACCTGCCCACCTAGCAGATCAAAAGCAGAAATTCGAGTAGATAAAATAGGTAATGTTTTTAGTGGGGAGGTAACAAAGGCACCTTTAAGGACACTGATCGGAGGAAAGCTCCTTCGCATGGTAGATAGAGTGACATCACACACACACACACACACACACACACACACACACACACCCCGTGGCCAGAGTCAAGCATAGCTGGAAATAATATCCCGGAAATAAGATGAGGAAAACTGCCTTTATCTTGTTAATTGTATAATCAGCATTGAATGTTTGTCGTATGTGTCTTCTGTAAGCTGTTATGAGTCCCCTTCATGGTGAGAAGGGCAGGGTATAAATACTGTAAATAAATAAATAGCTCATTTAAAATTCAGACTATAACCTAGATTCACTAAACGCTACTGTACATGTATGAAGAAGCCATCATTTGGGTGGTGTCTTTGCAGCCAGAAGAGTAAACATACCCATATCACAGGGTTCTTGTAAAGATTCAGGAAAAATGTATCTGAAATATTTGGAAAATACAGACGCATTTTGTGGAGTAGTGATAGACCTGAATTCCTGCTCAGCCATTGAAACTCTTGGTGACTTTGAGCAAGTCACAGCCTCTCAGCCTAAGAGGAAGGCAATGGCAACCCTTCTCAGCAGAGACTTTGGGAAGAAAACTCTATGAGAGAGTAGTCATAAACTGGAATTACCTTGAAAGAACATAACAGCAAACAACAACTGATTTCTAATATAAGATTGTCTTGTTCCCTCCTTCAGAGTTTGGATTATTTCTTTTGCTTCAATTGCCAGAATCCTCCAGTTTCCAAAACATTTCTAAACTGTCCTCTCCTTCCTTGTACACTGGAGCCCCCGGTGGTGCAATGAGTTAAATCTTTTTGCCGGCAGAACTGAAGACCGATAGGTCAGAGGTTTGAATCCGGGGAGAGCATGGATGAGCTCCCCCTGTCATCTCCAGCTCACCATGAGAGAAGCCTCCCACAAGGATGGTAAAACCTGAGAGAAGCCTCCCACAAGGATGGTAAAACCTGAGAGAAGCCTCCCACAAGGATGGTAAAACATCAAAAACATCCAGGTGTCCCCTGGACAACATCCTTGCAGATGGCCAATTCTCTCACACCAGAAGCGACTTACAGTTTCTTAAGTTGCTCCTGACACAAAAAAAAAAACTTGTACACTTTGGCCATGATGTCCTTTTTTTTTTTCTTCCGGCATACATGTGTGCAGGTAAACCTGAATGCATTATGCTTTGTTGTGTGTGTGTGTTTTTTTAAACTGACAACAATGGTTTGAATATCTTTTTTAAGGATCTTAATGTTTGGGTCTGTGTGTGTGTATGCAACAGTATCTGTTTTCTTGGAACTCAAATCTTGAAGGATTGTGCCTTTCTCTGGCTTGTACATATATGAACATAAATGTCAATTTCTTTCTCTCCATTTAGGAATGGTCAGAGGAAATCTTCAGTCTGGCAACCAACCTGCTGGCACAGAACATGTCAAGGGATGCTTTGCTGGAAAAAGCGTAAGTGACAAAGCACTTGTGTTTTTAGGGTGTTATCTCTTGTTTGTTGTGTGTTAGGTTCCTTTTTCTTTCTTAAGGTATTTGCCCACAATTGTTCATATGGTGATGAACTGCCTCTTCTGTTAAAAAATGTCTTTTCCTCTTTCCCACTTGCCTCCTACTGAGGTGATATCCATGGATTGTTCTTGGGAATCTCAACCATCATGGCTTCTACATACACAATGTATATTTTTACGGATATAACTATAGCATCATGCCTAACATGGCATTTTATTATATGAATAGCTGCACAAAGGAATCATGGCAAGGAACTAGGAAAGTTTGCTTTCATATCAGGGGACTGTAGCCCCATGTAAACTGCTATATTATCCACTTTCAGAATGCAGATTAACTGCATTGAACTGGATGCTGCAATGTTGCAATGTAGATGGGGCCTGTGTGGCTCTCCAGATGTTAACTGCAACTCCCAGCATGCTTCACTGGTTTATATACTGGCTACAGTTCCTGGTACTGGTCTCGGGAAAACTGTATAATTTCCAGGAATACCAGACCAACTACTTTTGCCCACTGGAAGACAGTATCTTGTATAAGCAAGTAGGATTCATGTGAATTCTGCTGTGTACATGTTGTTGAGGGAAGGATATTAGATGCCAAGATTAAGTATTTTGTCCACATAATGAGAAGACAGGAAAGCTTAGAGAAGACAATTATGCTGGGGGAAATGGAAGGAAAAAGGAAGAGGGGCTGACCAAGGGTAAGATAGATGGATGGTATCCTTGAAGCCACTGATTTGATCTGGAAGGAGCTGGGGGTGGTGACGGCTGGCAGGGAGCTCTGACGTGGGCTGGTCCATGAGGTCACAAAGAGTTGGAAGCGACTGACTGAATCAACAACATGTTGCTGATATCTGTATGGGACTGGTCATGAAATTGGAGCAGGAATCAGCATGACAACTCTAGAGTTGGTGTGTAGATGGAAATGATGGGGGTTATGATCCAGCAGCTTCAAATTTTATCCAACTCCAAGAAAACACAGCTTTTTTTGTCATCACTGCAAACCAATAGTCATAATTGCTGGTAGATCCACCATCCTCCAGGCTTACAACTCTTTAGGATTGATGTTACTCAGTGGAGTAACTCATGGTGTCATGCCCATTAACCTCCTCCCTTACCAAAATCATACAATATTGTAGCTAATATGGTAATATGGGGAAGCGAGGGGGGGTGACAAAATGAGCAAGTATATATAAAAAAGCAGCCACAAAACCAGCAACATGTGCTTGTAGCTCCTGCAGATGAAGTTAGGTGATTTGAAGCATTATTGCAATTGGGTTTTTTATTGTTGTTTTTTAATTTACATACATTAACAACTTACAGTATAAACGAAACTCAAAACAGTGAACATTGTACAAACACATAGCCCCACCACCAAGGCCTGAACAAGCATCCTTTCCTTCTCCATATATTTATAAGTCAACCATTAATCAAATGTCATATCCAAAAATCCTGACCAACAAAGTTATATTGTTTTCCATTTTCACTCTCTAAAGCAGGGGTACTCAAACTTTTTAAACAGAGGGCCAGGTCACAGTTCCTCAAACTCTTGGAGGGCCGGATTATAATTTGAAAAAAATGAATGAATTCCTGCACATATCATATTTATAGTGCAAAAAACACTTTAAAACAATACAGTAATTAAAATGAAGAACAATTTTAACAAATATAAACTTCAATGGGAAATGTGGGTCTGCTTTTGGCTGATGAGATAGGATTGTTGTTGTTGTTGTTGTTGTTGCGTGCTTTCAAGTCATTTCAGACTTAGGTTGAACCTGAGCGAGGGCCAGGTAAATGACCTTGGAGGGCCGCACCCGGCCCCTGGACCATAGTTTGAGGACCACTGCTCTAAAGCATATTTAATAAAGACTGACTAGTATGCATCAAAATCTGATCTGTTAGTTTTCCCCCTGAATATCCTCATTTCCATTGATAGTTTATCATTTAAGGCTAAGTTCCATACCTCCCTATACCATGCTTCCGGTGTAAGTTTAGGTACTATTTTCCAATTCCTTGCAATTATAATTCTTGCCATTGTGAGTAAAATTATCACCAATTCTTTCTTTTCCATTTCTAAATTCAGCTTTGTGGCATCCATTAGTAATGCTAACCTAGCATCCGGAGTAATATTTAGTCCTATAATATTACCTATTTCGATAAATATATCATTTCAAAAGCTCTTCAACTGGAGGCATTCCCACTATAAATAAAAAACATGTACCTTTGTGCATACCACATCTCCAGTAGAGGTTGCTTTGCTTGCTATCCATCTGATGTTGTTTAACTGGTGTGGTAGACCATCTCCATATAACTTTGTATACATTTTCATTTAATCTTATTGATGGATTCTTAACCACTCTCCACTTATAACCCTTTTCCAGTCAAAATCTGTCAGAGACCCTAGTTCTCCTTCCCATATTTTTTCTAACAGCTTCAGCCCCATTTCTTCACCAATTAATCCATTATATATTTTCCCAATTAATCCTTTATTGCATTTTGGTTATTAGGATAGCTCTGACTGGAGCACATGCACATCAAAAGGTTCAAAAAGCAAATTAATGAAAAATTTTAGCCTTGTAAGTAATAATGCCATAGTACATGGAAGCTGGGCTTACAAAAATGTGGTTGTCTATAAAATTACAGGGATAATTTTATTAATAAATAATAAATTTCTGATGAAAACTGCCTAAATCCTATATTGAAAGTCATTTCACTGTCACCCTCTGCACACACCTAGTAATTCTGCTGAGGCTGGATCTGCACTGCCCTATATCCCAAGATCTGATCCCAGATTATCTGTTTTGAACTACATTGTATGAGTCTACACTGCCAGATAATTTGGGATAAGCAGATAGTCTGGAATTAGAGGCTGGAACATAGGGCAGTGTAGATCCAGCCTCAGTCTCCCTGTCATATGTGCAGAGGGTACTCCCAAAACCTGGGCAGTATTGCATAATATTATAGATGATAACACTCAAAGTTAGCTCCATCATTCTCACTGTGCTATCTATTATTAGTCAAACAATAAAATGAAACAAGGTTTCTGTTTCCCCTTCTTCATCATCATCCTTTGTATCTTGCACTCTCTGGAGAAACATGTTGCATGTTGATTCAGAGTCGTTGGAACAAAAAATACAGAGGGCGTTGATGAGAATATCCTGAATCAAAAATAGTAGGCACATTTCCCCTCCTTCAGATTTAAATAGGAAATACTTAAATATAACCAAGTTTACTTAACAGATGATTAATGATCAGAGTAGACTAAACAGTGTTGAAAACATTACAAGCAAGTATGTGTAGCTTTTGGAGAAAGAATATACGCATTACGTAGAAGTGAATGTGTGTGGCTGTTCTTGCTGAACTTTTCTTCTGCCCAACATTTTTATGTACTCTCTCACACACAACATACACATCCAAATGTCTTCAATTACAACATCTCCCATTAGCCCCACCCAGCATGATTGTGGCATTGGAGCATGGATGCCCGGAGAGCCAATGATTCCTCATTCCTCCTTTGCAGCGAATCCTGCCAAGCACCAGCACCACCTGCTGAGCTTTAAATGATCCTTTATCACAGGCCTCATAAATCCTTCTAGAAAAAAATCTGGACTAAGATAGTGGTTGCAAAAATTGTGCTGGCAAAATGAAGAGCGAAAAGAGCTGGTATCCAAGTTTATAATCTGAGAGGGATGAATTAGGTCTGCTTGCATTGCTGGTATTTGCCAAGCTTCCTGATGCTTTGACTGGATTAGTTAGAGTGATCTTTCTGCCAAGAAAACTGCAAATGTAATTTTCACATGTGATACTGTTGTTTTACTTGGCCAGAGACTCACTGTCTTCAGCCTGTTTTTCCTCTGTAAGCAGTAGTGGTATGGGCTCGATCTACACTCCATATAATGCAATTTGAAACTGTATTATATGGTTGGTGTAGCAAGTTAACTGCTTTGAACTGCATTATGAGTCTACACGGAATCCACTTTCAATTTTACTCTATACTTTGAAAAAACTATCCAAACTTCAACCCATTTTGGTAAAGTAGAATGGGACTGCTCTACAACTAACCCATCATCTCTGTTAGGATGGCATTGTAATGAGGGGATTCTTCCAGCTTATTTATTTATCGTGTCAGGATTGTGAACCAAAACAGTTGTATTGCATTAAAAAAACAGACAAACAAACAAACAAAACACTAAATTTGCAGACTTGGTATTCTATTAAATGTCCTTTGACCAGTAGCTGGCCACCTGGAGTGCCCCCGGTGCCGTCGCAAGGAGGTCCTCCATTGTGCATGCACCCAGGTTGCATTGCAGTAGGTGGTTTGTGGTTTGCTCTTCTCTACACTCACATGTCGTGGATTCCACTCTGTAGCCCCTTCTCTCAAGGTTGGCTCTGCATCCCGTGGTGCCAGAGTGCAGTCCACTCAGCGCCCTTCAAGTCGCTCAGTCTTCTGTGTGCCCAGGAGGGAGTCTCTCATTTGGTAACAACCATTGATTGAGGTTCTGGGTATGAGCTTGCCACTTTTGGACTCTTGCTTGCTGAGGTGTTCCAGCGAGTGTCTCTGTAGATCTTCGAAAACTATTTCTTGATTTAAGTCATTGGCGTGCTGGCTGATACCCAAACAGAGGATGGGCTGGAGATGTCTCTGCCTTGGGGTCCTTTCACTATTGGTTGCTACTTCCCGGCGGATGTCAGGTGGTGCTATACGGACTAAACAGTGTAATTTCTCCAGTGGTGTAGGGCGCAGACACCCCGTGATAATGCGGCATGTCTCATTAAGAGTCACATCCACTGTTTTAGCATGGTGAGATGTGTTCCACACTGGGCATGCATACTCAGCAGCAGAGTAGCATAGCGCAAGGGCAGATGTCTTCCAGCTGAATCATTAGAATTGAGAATCATGTGAAATTTAAAAATCACTTTCTATACATGTTCCATTTTTGTTTGCTTCTATGGCTTATTTACTTCCTCTTGCCTTATGTCTGAAATACCATAGCTTCTTTGATTGTTTTGGGGAATTATTGGGAACATATTTCCAGTTTTCACTCCCCAGTGTTTCCAAAATGATAAGAATTTGGGTTATAACATAAAGCAGGGATGGAAATGGTGCAGACTGTGGCAACAGACAGACAGAAAGGTACTGCAAAGTTGGTGCATCCCAATTTTGGTACCCTTCACATTTTTTTCTGGAGAAAAAAACATGTATTTTTGACCAAAAATTACTTTCCGGGGATACTTTTGGTTTTAAAGTCCTCTTTGAAAAGCATCATGGAGCAACAAATAAATAAGATCAAAATCTAAAATGCTTCCGATAGTGATTAGGATGGAGAAGATGCTATTTCTACTTACAGTGGCACAGTGTGACCCACTGAAGTCTCAGAGGAATGTAAAAGGGCCCTCTGCACCCTGGAATTATGCTCACCCAAAACATGCTATATATATATGACTACCCCAAGCTAATCTATCATCCTTGGAGTTTAGGACTTACAACCTCATCGGATGAGCCACTGGAATCACCCAACAGGTGGGCGGGGGGAATCCATCACCCCACACCCGACATTGCCCAGCTTCCCCCTTACCCCATCCCATGGGGGAAGCATCAGCCGCCCGGTTTTCCCCCACTGATCCAATGCAACACAGGAAGCCTTGCATGTTGCGTTAGCAGTAGCATGCGTCAGTTCCTCTATAGCAGGAGTCCTCAAACTAAGGCCCGAGGGCCGGATACGGCCCTCCAAGGTCATTTATCCAGCCCAGGGGTCCTCAAACTTTTTAAACAGAGGGCCAGGTCACAGTCCTTCAAACTGTTGGCGGGCCGGATTATAATTTGGAAAAAAAAATCATGAATGAATTCCTATGCACACTGCACATATCTTATTTGTAGTGCAAAAGACACTTAAAAACAATACAATAATTAAAATGAAGAACAATTTTAACAAATATAAACTTCTTAGTATTTCAATGAGAAGTGTGGGCTGATGAGATTGGATTGTTGTTGTTGTTGTTGTTGTTGTTGTTGTTGTGTGCTTTCAAGTCGTTTCAGTCTTGGGTTGACCCTGAGCAAGGGCCGGGTAAATGACCTTGGAGGGCCGCATCCAACCCCTGATCCAGCCCTTGCTCAGGGTCAACCTAAATCTGAAATGACTTGAAAGAACACAACAACAATAATCCTATCTCCTCAGCCAAAAGCAGCTCCACACTTCTAATTGAAATAATCATAAGTTTATATTTATTAAAATTGTTCTTTTTAATTATTGTATTGTTTTAAAGTGTTTTTTACACTACAAATAAGGTATGTGCAGTATGCATAGGAATTCATTCATGTTTTTTTCAAATTCTAATCCTGCCCTCCTACAGTTTGAGGAATTGTGACCTGGCCCTCTGTTTAAAAAGTTTGAGGTACCCTGCTTTATAGTTTTATGATGGAACCCTGCCAGAAGTAGTCATGGGATGGGAGCCAGCAGACTCCATTATAAAACTATAGAGGAACTAGTGCATGCTGTTGAGAAGTGTGATGAGGTCGATAGAGAATGCATTAATACTAAATTATGCTTTGTAGTTTATTTACATTGTTTGAGATATCCATTATAGATCATACCTCTTTCATTTTTTTTCATTTCGTCAGTGATAGGTAATTCACGGCTCTTGTTCATGTGCTCTTGCCATCGCTCCTACGTAGCATAATCAGCAGTGGAAGCTGATGGGAGTGCCAGTCCAAAAATATTTGGAGGGCCACATGTTGCTCATCCTTTGATTATATACAAGCCATTAACTGGAGACAGCTCATGTATGAAATAGTTAAAGTCACTGTAGCTGGTTATGTGAGTCCACTCTGTGTCTTGTATTTCAAGAAGCATTGGTTGTACTTCAATCTTACCTACAGCTCTCCACTTTCTGTCTGCCCCAGCAGTAGTGTCCTTTAGCTGTCCCCTGAGCTCTGTGGGAATTGTGTGTCGTCAATAATCAGATCATGAGGGCAGGAGCTGATTCTGTGACTTTCCCACAGAATCTGTACATATACCCTAATACCAGTCTCATGGGAAAAACACACAGGTGATTGGCCTCTGCCAGCATGGCTGGGTTGTCTAAACACTCTCCCAACCCCATGAGAGTTGATTATGGGGAAGTGGATCCCATTCAGGCAACACTGATGCTAGTGACTCACTGCAATATATTTTTCCCCCAAACAACTCAGATGAATTCTTACAGTGTCTGTACTCACACCCCATTGCAAGCCATGAGCCCTTAAAGTACATTATGTATCATTTGAAGAACACTGCTTAAGAAATGTGTCTTGGCAAAGTTCCATTTCCAGTGCACCTCCCTGCGGGGATTTGTGATCGCTCTCAAAATCTGCACTTGGAGATGTCATTACAAGTAAAGATAACTTGCTCGAGGTTTCAAGACATTAAGCTTTTCTTGGAAAACGATGAAGCTTGAGAGATTATGATTTTCTTCTTCAAAAGAACAAAGTTCAGGGTTATTTTATGGTCAACACTGTGGAAAAAATCTACTTGTGAATTGTGGTTGTCATGCCTTTTTGATTGGAACATTTTTCTTTTCTCTAGATACACAAAACTTAAATTACAAGTGACTACGGAGGGGCGTATTCCTTTGAAGAAGTAAGTTGTGTTCCCTTACGGTGTTTGGGGTTTTAAAAGAAGTCTTTCATGCCAATGTATTTTACAGTCTAGTGTTATATTCCTCCTTCACGTGGAGAATGTTAGTTTTACATTGAGCCTAGTTCTCTCTGCAGTGGTCCAGCTGTGTCTGTGCTGTACCACTCATAGGCTCATATGATCAGTAAAAGAAAACAAAACAGAGAAAACTGGATGTCAGGGAGAAAGCTATCTTTGAACATTTTGAGTTTCTTATTATTGTATTTATACTTAAGAGCACACTGAGTCATGTGATTCCCCTTACATTGTCCTGTGGAGTCCCACAGGGCTCAGTATTGTCCCCCATGTTGTTTAACATCTACATGAAGCCGCTGGGTGAGATCATCCAGAGCAGTGGTTCTCAACCTGTGGATCGCCAGATGTTTTGGCCTTCAATTCCCAGAAATCCTAACAGCTGGTAAACTGGCTGGGATTTCAGGGAGTTGTAGGCCAAAACACCTGGGGACCCACAGGTTGAGAACCACTGATCCAGAGTTTTGGAGTTTGATGCCGTCTGTACGCAGAAGACGTCCAACTCTATCACACATTTCCACCAGATGCTAAGGAGGCTGTCCAAGTCCTGAAGCCGTGCCTGGCCGCTGTGATGGTCTGGATGAAGGCGAGCAAATTGAAGAAATTGTAACCAATAAATAGCGCAGAAATGGGACAGAACAAACATATGCTTCACTAGTTACAACATCCTTAGAAACCAAAATAGCCAGCCTCTGATTTGGCAATTGAGCATCTGTAAGGCAATGAACAACCTGAATTCTACTAGAGTGTAAGTGGTTCTCCATGTTGTATTTATGTATATCTAAAAATGTAAACAGCGCTTAATGACAAATGACATATGCATACGAGAGATTCAAATCAGATAGCTGAAGCTGGATGTGGTCTCTTGTCATGTATGTGTGCAGTAGCAAACTTGATTTGTTGCTAAGTAAAATATTCCAAGAAAGAGGACTAAGGAATTTAATATGCTATCTGAGACTAAAACCAGGTGATATTTGAGGACTTGAAAAAGTTACCTCTTTGGATTACAAGTGTCAGTATTCCCTAGACAGCGTGATCATTGTTTTCTGTGAGCTGTAGGTGAAAATATGACATGTTCATGTTCTACAGAGAATATGTTGAGAAACCCCTTGGCAGCTGGGCAGATTTCATGTGGGAAACGACCAGCATTCATACCATGACACCAGACTATTTTGAGCTTTATACATCAGTGTAAACAGCTGAATAGTTTTCCCAGCAGGCATATTGGGTACCAATGTAGATCATTATTGGGTTGTTGTAGGTTTTTTCGCGCTATATTGCCATGGTCTAGAGGCATTCTTTCCTGACGTTTCGCCTGCATCATTTTTATTACATGCATTATTACTTTTTTCCCCTTCTTTCTCACTTTGCAGCATTTACCGTTTGTTTTCCTCGGATCGAAAGCGTGTTGAGACTGCATTGGAAGCTTGTAATCTTCCCTCTGCCAGGGTAAGCAATGGATTTTTTTCTTCCCACTTTTGATATGAAAAGTTACCTTATACCCCATAGTTTTACATTATGGTGAACCAGCTGACATTTCTGTTCTTGGCTTCTTCATCAACTATGGACAGACTTGCATTTTGGAGGCCTTTGTATGTAATGGTCACTCTTTCTTTCACATGTGACTCAGATTTGATAGATATTGCTATGCCTTTATACAAGAGTCTCGTGCAAGGTATAGAAATTTAAATATATCACCAGAATTGTAGGTAGTTACTATATTCATTAACTATAAGCATCATGTCACAGTAGGCAGCTGTTGGTGAGTAAATGAATCTGTTCTTGGCTTCAAGTCTATACTTAATAATAATAATAATAATAATAATAATAATAATAATAATAACTTTATTTTTATACCCTGCCAACTATCTCCTCTAGGGGACTCGGGGCGGTGTACAAGGGATAAGCCTAAAATTACAAGTAAAACACACTAATTAAAAACATCAGATAAAATAAAACAAAAATCACACACAGTTGTAAACAACATCAAAACAATATGGCTGAGAAATATGGCAGAGAAAAAAAGAACTTTTAAAATAAATTATCTAGGATCCTGGACCTTTTTAGGAGACACGGTTCAACACCTGGGGCAGCACAGTTCAGACAAACTCCAAGAATATATGCACTGCTACCAAATACAGGGTGAAGCAGCATAACTTCCTTTTTTCAAAACTTAATAAAACCCATTGTATGAATCAGAAATTTTATTTTTTTTATAATGTAGATGGATACCTAAAGTTTTGTTTTACGTAGCTTTGAAGATCCAATTAGGTAGGTGACATCCCCCATCCTCCATTCTCCATACACTGAGTAAACCAATTTCTGGCGTTTGTCGTGACTCTTGCCAGCATAACAGGCATTATGTTGGCTATTTCTCCCTGGATGTTGGTCTTCAAATCTTGTAGGGTCCTTGGACGGTTCACATAAACACAGGGTTTCAAAAAAAACCCATAGAAAAAAATCACAAGGGGCCAAATTTGGAGAGCGGACCGGCCACTCCAAATCTGCTTGAAAAGTAGGCCTCAACGGCAAAAGCACGCTCCTCACTGTTCGAATGCATGATGGCGACTGAACTGTGTCAGGTCAAAACTTTATACTCCCGCCTCTCGAACGAGACCACGAGCGCTCCACGACGTCTTCAACCGACTGAATGGCGCGCATTTTAAAAAAGGAAGTTATGCTGCCTCACCCTGTATGACACCTTTCTTTTATTGGCTTCTCCAAAGCAGCAGAAATAATTATTTTCACATCTGTTTAAGAGATACTCTAGCAATGCAATCCAAGGATTTACTAAAAAGGCCCTTTGGTTTTCAATGGGACTTCTTCCAGAGTATGTTTAAAATTGTAGGCTAGAGAAGAAGTATTGTGAGCCCAAAGAAAGGTTTGCAAGAAAATAGTTGAAAACACCCTTTTGTGAGAAGAGTAGAAAAGAGGGAACCAATTGAAAGTAGCCTCCAGGTTTACATTGGTGCTTGAGATAAAAAAAAATCTTGTGTATCCAAAGGTTTCAGAAGTTTGGCTAGACAAAACTGAAGAGAATACTGATATTTTCTGAATTTTCCATCTTGTACTCCAGTTTAGATTTGGAGCACGTATCCCACCCAGCTGCCCACTGTTCATTTACTGCTGCTTACAATCCCCTTTAGTGCCTCCCCATTGCTTTGACCTCTTCTATCAGTCCCCCCGCCCTTCGATTCCATACCTGTTACATTAACCTGTGTTTTTAAACTGTTCTCTAATCTGTTTTATAATAACTGTTTCACTGGGGAGCTGTTTCTCCTTCCCAGGGCACTTGTGCCCTGCTTTGTGCTGGTCAGTGACCATAATAAAGTTTTGAATTTCATATCAAGAGTAATGTTAGAAAAAATGAACTTTTATCTGTCTTAAAAATTACTCTTCAACATTTAATCACTCAAATTTATCATGACATTTAGGTTGTGTCTTCCCCTTAGCAAAAACCATATTTCTGTCCATCAGCAGCGATTCACCATTTATTTTTGCCTTGAAGTTTTGTGTTGTCCTTGAACATGGTAATTTTTGTATGTCTAGAAATTTCCTAATATTTATGGGTGGGTGTTTAATGTATATCCGGAAAGGTTCTCTGTCATCAGTGTTTAATGGCTGCTGTCCTGTCCTAGTGACCTTCCTTAAATAGAGAGGAATAAATACTTCCAGTATCCCTTAGGGTAACAAGAGATGGCATCGAGAGTAACAGCTGGCGACACGCACCCTGTCAAAGGATATTAGTTAGTGCAGAAAAGCTGAATGAAAATATTTAATTCACAATAGCCTGGGGACACTATCAGTTCTCTTACTCTTCAGAGACAGCATGTTTTTGAATTAGTGAGATTTGATTTCTTATGTTTTAAAATTAAAAAGCCCCGAGAATATGACTGAAGGGTATGATATATACATGCCAATAATACATAAATGAAAATAAGCAGCAACTTGGTCTGCAAGTTTCATTTCAGATTATGGAGGAGTTCCATGAAGAGAAAAATGAGAGACTTGCATTTGATCAGTAACCATGGTTCTAGAGATATTATTAGGCCACAAAACTAATTGGTCCTGCCAATAATCCCAATAGTTAAGGATGAGACTTGCACTACAGCAATATCCAGAAAGCTACAAGTTGCAGTATATTATGTAAAAACTCAGTCCAATCACAGTTAGGGAGCATTGTAGTCAAGGTACTACCAGAGTGACTTTTTTGGTCAAAGGTAGCCATTTGCCTAAAATCTAAATGTAGCAATACCTGAAATATGCCTGAACCAGGCACCTCCTAGTCCCAAATATGTGAAGAGTAGAAAGGTGTGAAACCACCTGAATATATATGTTTTTTCAACTCTTATCTATGATAGTAAACATGTTCACAATTCCCCTTTTCTAGTAATATTACTAAACTATAGTGCAAAGGAGATACATTCAAGTATGACAAATTGTATTTGCAATCACAACTGGAATTACTCTGGACTACAATCTTGGATTGTGTGGTTTTAATAATTGGTTTAATTTGATATGTTTTTAATTCTATAGTTTTAATGCAAATGTTTATTTTAATTGTATGTCTGTTTTATGTGGCATTAAATTGTTGCCTACATGTAAGGCTGCTCGGAGTGCCTCTCAGGGTGAGAAGCATGGGGTATAAATATAATAAATAATAAATAAGTAGATTGAGCGCTTTGCTGTTAGGGAGCCTAAAGAAAATGGGTTTAGACCAGAGATTTGAAACCTTTGATCCTCCAGATGTACCTGAAATTCCAAGTCTCAACAGTGGCCGGGAGAGCTTTTGCACAATTAAAACTTTTGTGCCAGTTGCGCCCGTACCTTGGGAAGTCAGATCTGGCCACAGTGGTCCATGCTCTTATTACATCCCGAATAAATTACTGCAACGCACTCTACGTGGGGTTGCCTTTGAAGACTGTTCGGAAACTTCAATTAGTCCAATGGGCGGCAGCCAGATTACTTACCAGAGCATCATACAGGGAACATACCACCCCTCTGTTATGTCAGCTCCACTGGCTGCCGATCCAGTTCCGAGCACAATTCAAAGTGCTGGTTTTGACCTTCAAAGCCCTATACGGCTCCGGCCCAGTGTACCTGTCCGAACGCATCTCCTTCTATGTCCCGCCTCGGAGTTTAAGATCTTCTGGGGAGGCCCTGCTCTCGGCCCCACCTCTATCACAAGTGAGGTTGGTGGGGACGAGGAGCAGGGCCTTCTCGGTGGTGGCCCCTCACCTGTGGAATTTGCTTCCTGGGGAAATTAGGTCATCGACATCCCTCCTCTCTTTTAGAAGGAAACTATGATTCTATGATTCTATGAAACTAAAAACATGGATATGGGACCAGGCCTTTGGGTAATCTGGCAGACAGACAAAGGACAGTGACGACTAGAATTGGATAGGATTATGACAATGCGGAATGAACTTACGGATTTTGAGCTTGGTGAATGTTGATCACCAGATTGGCTTTTTATTAGTTGTATTGTATAACTGGATTGTTTTAATTATTTAATAATTGTTACTGCTATGTATTTTATCTTACTATGTGTATTGCTGGCATCAAATTGTTTCTTTTGTAAGCCGCCCTAAGTCCCCCTTCGGGGGTTGAGAAGGGCGGGGTAGAAATGCTTGAAATAAATAAAAATAAATAAAAGACTCTGTCAGCATGGCTAATGCGAGCAGTCTTGAAATTACAAACAAGATAGGATATGTAGGTTTGTTCCTAAGTTTGAACATTTTTAAGTGTAATTACAGCCAAAATATTTATTTTAAAGCTTTAGGTAGTAGAGGGAAGAGGTAACACCTCTGTGGTGTTTGTTTTGCTGTTTGTGCCTCTGTGATAATTGGATTTTGGAAAAAATTGAAACATTTGGCTTGTTGTGGAAGCCAGGGTTTGTGATAAAGCTTCAGTGGAGACACCTTTTCCTCGTGATATCTGTTTCAGGAGTAAATTTCCCTCCCTAGGAGGAGATTTCTCTCACTTCCTGTCGCCTCACCCCTGTTCTTAATTTTGAGTAATTTTTAAGTAAGATGTTTGTAACCCAGGGACTGCCTGAATAGACAAATTCTGAAAGCTGAGGTCCAAAAAAATCTCGAAAATCAAAGGCTTAGTGTATCTGGGCTAGACTGTCCATTGCAACAAGGGATGGCTGGAACTGTGCTGCTGCCACTGAAATACTTTGTTGTAAAACGGATGACTTCTGACTATATAATGTTTGCAATAGTAATTTGAGTATGAAGCATTTTTTTTTCTCCAGAGGAAAGGTTTAGGACTTCATTAACTTCATTAACTATGCTGTTTACAAAGGCCATTCTCAGGACTTATTCTGTACAAAAATGCATGTGGTCTTTTTGTGCAGAAAATTGCATTTTGTTCAGAAAACCTTTCTGGACAGAAAACAAGTTTCCTACAGTATTTTCTATACTGTAAATATATCTGCGCAGATA